AATATGGTACTATACAATAAAATAAGATAAGATAAGATAAGATAAGATAAGATAAGATGAGATAAAATACGATAAGATAAAATACGATACGATAAGATAAAATACGATACAATAAGATAAAATACGATACGATAAGATAAGAAGATAAGATGAGATAAGATAAGAAAAGATAAGATAAACTAAAATACGATACGATACGATAAGATAAGCTAAAATATGATACGATAAAAATACGATGAGATAAGACAAGATACGATACGATACAAGAGGATAAAACTTTATTGATCCCAGTGGGTAAATTTGCACATTACAGCAGCTCAAAACAGGACAGGGTGAGATAGAATAAAGAAAGATAAGTAAAAGAAAAAAACACTATACTCGTGATATATAACAATGTACAAATACCTGGTACAGTACATAAATTAATATATACGAAGCTGCATATTACTGATGGCAGTGTAGGTGAATTGTCCAAGTGAAGGATAATAACATCATGATGTGTTATACAGTCTAACTGCAGCTGGAATGAATGACCTACAGAAGCACTCCGTCCTGCAGCGAGGATGTTAACAATAATAATAATGATTAAAAAGACAGGATGTTGTTTAAATATTCTGATAAAGTGCAGTTTAGAGGAAACTTGGATAGTTTTCAGTCTGATTTCCACCCGAGCTGCAGAGCATCAACAGCGTTTGGCAGGAGGACTCATTCTTCTGTATTATTCACCCAGATTAGGTGACTTCTGTCTCCACTGACGTGTTTTAACGTCAGCGGCTCGTGGAGGAGCTCCACAAATTGTTTGGCTGAAATAGCAGCTGCAGTTTTGCCATCTGAAAATAAAAAATGTGTCGTAGCCAACTTTGATTAAAATAGAACTGGAGATGTTCTGTCAAAATGCAGCTGAGTGGTGAGGGAGTTGTTAAAGCTAAAAGAAGCAGAACACTAGGCGAAGGCTAAAAAAGGCTCAACTCTAAAACCTAAAAGSAGCTAAAYAAATGTAGCAAAAGGTTACCTAAAGCTAAAAGTAGCAATGGGCTAGCTTTRAAAAGGAGAACAGTAGCTAAAAATTAAAAATCTAAAAGTTGCTAAATATTAAACTAAACCCAGACCTCCTCCAGAAGTCAAACTTACATTAAAAAGATTAAATTGAATTAAAAATATATATTTTTCTATTTTAAAAAAGTCTTTAATAAACAAAGGATCGAGGAAAAAAGGGCAACTTTCTGAACAAACTGATGAGTAACTAAAAGCTGAAAGAACATTTGTGAACAATCGTTTTTTAATAACTTGGAAGCTTTTGTCCGCGGATGAACGCCAACAAGTCTTTTTTTTAAACGACACATTTTGCTTCTAATCTGGAGTGAAAATGTGACAAATTTACACGGAGGATGACTTCAGACTCACTCAGAGAACAGTCAGACTCATCGGAGGAAACAAACTTTACTCAGGAAACAAATCCTTCCTTAAAACAACGTTTAGCTGAAACTGTGGCTCAACTGTCTGCACAAACAACCGCACAACACACAACACACAAACATGAGCTTAAATTAAATATCTGTCACGTTAAATCAGATACATTTTCTTGAGTTTTGTTCTCTTCTGAATAAAATACTGCAACCATTTTTAAGCTTTTCGTTTTGCAGTGTTTGAATGTTTCTCACCTTGTGTTTCTAATAATTTGATTTATTTTAAACTTTCCTGACACATTTTGTCGTTCAGCCTGAATATCAAACCATAGAGTCAGAAAAAAGTCTGATTCAGTTTCTAATTGTCTAATATTTCACTGACGGCTTTCGAACAGTTATTGAAGTTTTTTGTGTCTCTGTAAATAAAAATACATCAAAACCAAATATTCATATTATAAACACTAACGTTATTGTTACTTTTAAAAAAAAAGCACAGGTGATGCTGTAAACAATAAATTAAACGTGAAATTTTGAGGTTATTTACAAAGATTTTCTGATTGTTTTAAATGTTCTTTAACCAGTAAAACACCAAGAAAACTGAACATTAATAACAAATACTAAGTGTTATATTGCCCCCTGCTGGTGATCAGGGAAACTACCACTTTAATTATCAAGGATTTTGTTAAAAATAAAGTTGAAACATGGTTTGAAAAATTGTCGAATTAAATCAATTTTAACTTATTCTTTAGTATAAAAACTATGAATGATTTATACACACACACACATTATAT